AAGCCATTCGAACTCAGGAGCCTTAGCAATAGAGTGCTGTCCCGCAGATAAGGCTGTATGTCATACATGTATGTATGTAGCACATTAGGTACAAACGACCATAGGTAACACTTACCCTTTAGTAGTTTCTGCAGGCCTTTCGATTTCTTACTGCTTCCAAAGCTACATATAAACACCATATATTCATACTTCGCACGCGGCACATCCTTGTGTAATTTAGATTCTCTCAGTAAATTGGGTGTTTGTTAACTGATAATGGACACACTGATGTACACTCACCTCCTCGGAGGGCTTCAACGCCTTTTCAACTTCAAACTAGGTTCTGAATTACCCAGGTTAATTATGTTCTTAGAAAACCTTGCCAATATCAAATCTGATCGTGCTTCTTCACTAGATTTACTCGTAAATTGTTGCATGCTGTAAACATGAACGTGAAACATTGTTTTTACCAGATTTATACGTAGTAAATAACCGCTTGAACCAACAATAACAACGGTAACTAACACATGAACTGGAAACAGCAGCTTCTGCCACCCAAACATGTTCATGTGCATAATTTCCAGAAATTCTACATAGTACTATTCCATTAATAGCTGAAAATCAACTAAAACACTGTAACCACGCATGAATGCAACGTAGGAAACAATTAAAATGAAATGAATGAACTGACCTGGTGGTAAGAAATTTGGAAACAAAACAAATAACTAGTTTCAACAGCAACAGAAACAAGAATGGGGGAAAACGCAACATTTATGAACAATGTGCATCAAGATAAAGTATGAATAATTGCAGGATAAACGTAAAAGCCAGTGTGTAGACGAACGTTTAGAAAACGACAATCCATTACTGCCGACTGACACGGACTGAAGTGATCTACCAATGTCTAACTCTTCCAGTGACCGTGAGAGTGCGGGATGATTTCAGCCAGTGAAAACCTGGTTTACACGGTAACTCTTCGAGAATCATACTGACCATGGGGCCCTAATGTGAGTCAAGAAGCCATGTGGTGAGAGCGGTCTGCTAGCCGATTGGTTGACACTAACCTACGTCAATGTCTAGGTCACTAATATGGGCCGTGAGGAAATATGAACAAGGCTGTTTTAACGACCAATCACAGCAAACTTAAACGTGGGCAAATATGATTCGCAGATAGATGGCTCCACTTTCCGAGGAACTCGAAAACAACCAATCAAAAGACTGCGTTTTTCTACTTGACTAGGCTATAATAATGTATGTGAAATTTGTATAAATACGTGTTGATTTCCGTAATAAAACGATCTGTTGCCTGGCCCTTGTCTTCTGTTGTTACAGCCAAGCAAAATAAGGGGCTGGAGTGATAGCGTAAAATTTCGGACAAATCTTGTTAGAAAATATCTGACAAACACCAGAAGCCTATACTGATTCACGTTGAGAACAAAGCTCACAGCCAGGGGAAAGTCCAAATAGTGAACATCTCACTGTCTGGAAGTGGCCGAAATATTTGATCCGTACTTTGGCGGATAAAAATATGGAGCACTGAGTATTACTAACGTGAGTCATGTAGGACGCATTGCCAAATTAGCACACGAAAATCTCAAGAATATAATTCCACGTTGAACTAGCAATGGTACTAAGGAAGCTGAGAAATCTGAACACTGGAAGCTCCCATGTTGCAATAAAATTTGACCATCCGTTGTTAAATAGTTCACAGAAGCTCTCTGCAAGCTGTTGTGTGACCTAATTCAACACTTGAGTGGTTCAGTGAAACTGCCAAAGGATTGGAAGAAAACCATTCTTCTATCTTCAAAAGTTGGGATTGACGAAACGTGATGAGTTACGAATCAAAGGTGCTACTTCTACTAGTCTTGGAGGTATTAGAAAGACTTACTGGTCGTCACATGAAGCAAACCATTGACAGGGACAATGACACCGAGAAGCACAAAACAGTTTCGGGAGATGAAGATCCTGTACAACAAGTCTATTACTAGCAGTGAGTGACTGGGCATTATGTTAAGATATGAATGTCCCATCCCAAGGGAGCTCCCTGGACTTAGTGGAGGCATTATACACCTTCAAACCCGAACTCGTCCCTCACATGTAAATTTATGTGTTTATATGAAAATATTAATTATTATTATGCAAGTCGACATTGATGGCATCTCCAATCATTGTTGAAGTACCACCTAGTCATCTGGCGACCTAAAGGTTTTCGGATCGGAAGTGTTTGAAAGAGTAAGATAGTTTGTGGGCCGACCAGAAAATTGTGGAAGACGGCACCTGCCAGTGGTTTGACCTTTTACCTCAGATACTCAAGGGAGTCCAACTACTCACCCGTAAGTCTCAGAGAGTACGTTATTCCATGTGTAGCGACAAGACGTGGCAGAGCTACTTAGGTCTCATACTAGCTCAATACGTTACGCGACCATGTCTGCGTAACAGCAAGGCCGACTATGCTGAAATGTAGAGGCTCTTGTCCGACGCTGACTGGCCCTTAGCATGGGATGAGCTATCTATGGATGAACACTGGGAGGTGGTAAAAAAGATTATTCATACAGTAATCTCGGATACCGTCCCTTTAGTCACAATACAGCTCAAAAGAAAGTCGTCATGGTTGAAGAGAGGCACGCTACGTATTCTGCAAGCAAAGCGGAAGGCTTGGTTTACGTGGCTTGAATCCAAGAGTCAGACCGACCACGATGCATACCTCGAACTCAGGAACCGGTGCAATGCAAGAGTCAGGAGGGATAGGAGGTCATTCCAGGCTAACCTTGCCAAAATACTTAGCAAACCCCAAAATCTTGTACCGATTCATGACGTAAAGAAAACCAACCATCCAGGGGGCATGCGCCTCAGATGGCCCAAGCTTTTAATATCTCACTACTCTGATATGCCTGAAACATTCAGTTTAGCCTACGCCAAACAGCTAACAGCAATGTGGGTATTACCCGTACGGACCAAAATGGTGGCACTACTATTTCACAGGAGGAAAACCTAGTGGCTACTCTCCAAATAAACCCGGCAATTGTCTAAGGAAGCTACAGCGACATACACCTAGGAAGTCCCCAGGTTGTGACGACATCAGGCCATCTGTTATGAAACACTGCGCCAAAGCTCTCTTCAGGCCCTTGTTCCAACACTCAATGGATTCGGGGAAACTGCCAAGAGAATGGAAATGAGCCATCCTTTAACCGATCTTCAAGGGTGGGGATCGGCAAAATGCCACTAGTTATAGACCCGTAGCTCTGCTCTCAGTGGTATCAAAAGTACTGAAAAGTATTATTGACGATCACATCAGGGATTACTTTGATAGGTCTGGTATACTCCATGAAGCCCGACACGGTTTCAGGAAATGCAGATCCTGTGTTACTAACTTACTATCAGCTTGGGACGACTGGAAATTATGCTGGGATACGAATGTACCAGACCATGTGTTCTTCCTAGACTTTGAGAAGGCATCTGATGCAGTTTGCCATGACCTCCTCGCACACGGAATAAGCCAGATAGGTATATGTGGGCCGATTCTGTCATGGTTAAAGGACTACCTAGCTGAAAGTCAATTTTGCACTAAGGTCAATCGAGTCCGATTATCTTGGCACAGCCCGTCATTAGGAGTGTCGCAGGGTTCTATCCTAGGACACCTGATGTTTTTGATTTTATCAGTGAACTACCACGCCGTCTTCTTCTATACGCTGACGAAGTAAAGATATGGAGGGCGATAAAGTGTCTGGAGGACTCAGATAGGCTACATGAAGATCTAAACCTTCTGGAAGACTGGGCGGCGTTTAGTGGCATGACTTTCAACTTGAAAAAGTGCAATGTAGTGAAGTTACGCACTGTAGACTGTAGAATGCAAGTTACACCCTGTGCAATGAAAGTTTGTCCTGCACAACGTCGGAATGCGACTTAGGTCCAGTTCTACTGGAAAAAATGGACACAAACGTAAATTACATGGGGGATCTAGCGAGGGCATACGCCGTCATACACTTTACACATAGACAGTTAGGTACAATCACCCGTGAGCTCTGTCTACGGTTGTAAAAAACATACGTCAGACCACACGTTGAAGTGCATAATACTATTGCACCCCCACTGCTTAGAAGAGACGACAAACTCTTGGGGGGAGTCCAACGACGGGCAACAAAAGGAGTGGTCGGTCTCCAAAATAAACCATATGATGAAAGGCTGAAGAAATTAGGCCTATTCACACTTAGCTACCGTCGTCTTAGGGGGATTTGATTACCGCCTACAAAATAACAGATGACCAGAATCACCCAAATAAAGATGTTCTGCCATTGAGTGAGTATAGGCTCCCGCGTGGAAATCCCAGAAGGACAAGGACCCGGGTACACTCCTGGGTTTACCGTCCCTGGAATTCCTTAACGGAAGATGTAGCTATGGCACCGCCTGTGGACGCCTTTAAGTGAAGGTTTGACAGCCATGAAGCGAGACAGGGACTGCATCCAAATGGCCTATCCCTTAAAATCTCGTACATCATTGAGCGGTAGACAATTAAACTTGCCGTTTTACATCTTTACATTCTCTCCCGTCTTACTTTCCTGACAACTGTAACTACACTTATTATTATCATCATTATTACCGATATATATTATTCATATTATTCTTCGAATTTAATCAGCTGACTGTTGTTACGTTTTCTTATACCTTTTTCTGTCTGTTAGTCTGAATAACTTCACTAATTATATCTATTATTATCTCTTTTGTTTTGATGACGATACCAGGGGACTAACTGGTGAAAGGATCAACTCTATTCACAGGAGTAACAGTCTTGAAACACCTCATCATAAAACCACATATAATTAATCCCAGCACTACTCTTTTTGGAGTCAACCAAAGCTACGACAGTCGAGTGGCGAGACGAGCTACGCAGAAGTTTACCGAAGATCAGGAACCCATACCTAAAAAATCAAGAGGCGAGCACAGAAATCAAGTTGGTTTATACTAACTCGTGAAAACGATATTGGATATTGAATACTAGCTCTGCAAAAAATATTGGATATTGGATGTTTGACCTAGAGATTTTAACTACATCCACCTCAATGACCTCACTTATGAATTTGTCAACATGTGGATAGTTTCGGTCATATTAACTCTGCATTTCGTGTTTGCATCCAGTGAAGATATTTCTTTCAAAAAAGACTTTTCTGTACAGCCAGGTGGAAAGAAGTACTCTGCAAATATTGAGAGAGTATTTTCTATCAACACATAATGCAATTATTTAATAGGATGGTATAACTTGTACTTTCACATATGAATGTCAGGGCGGGACAAATGAAGTAAATACATTTTTAGTGAATAAAATTTAGTAGAAATGGCACATGACGCTTTCGAAAATAAGAGATCAGAATGGTTATGGTTGCGTTGTAGAACGTTCTGGTAGTCAAACAAGTTACATATTCTTTCAAAGTTTTAAACTGGAAGTGAAGCCAGCAGTCGAAGCATTGACAGCTTCTGCATTTGTAAGATGCTATGATTGAAATTAACTTAAATGTAGGGAAACAATAACCAACCACTTTTGCTTGAAGAATATACATTCGATAAAAGTAGGGGTTCTGGTAAGTTTCATACTTATATAATGTTTTCCAGTATCACACGTCAGTGGAAAATTCAAGGCAGCTTTAACTCGTCTTTCATTAGAGTTTAATTGGATACCAGGAAATTCAGAACTTTGAGGTAAATTGCTTTCTATTTATCATATTTGTTATGATAGTTTTTGAGAATATTGGTCAATATTGATTATCTCTAACCTTGTGGTATTTATTTAACGGTGTAAATAATCATAGTTTATCCATAATACATGCATATTTTGATCTCTACATACAAGCAGACTGACAGCGGTGCCTAAAACAACTATATATATTAAATAGTTAAATGTATTACCAGGATTTCAGTTTTTCGGTATTTGCGTTTTTACAGTGCAATTGCCAATTTCACTGCACACCAAAGCAGTCGATGACATCCATAACGCTATAGGCCTCTTAAAAGAATAGTCGGTGCAGACCCCTCTGCTCTGGTTAGAAATCTATTTTATTCAAGGGAGCTTTAGTAATCTATAATGCAAGGTTAAAGTTTGGCGTTCAAACTTGAGAAGTCGTCGACATTCTGCCTGTCTGTCTGTTTTCGACATAGAACTTTGCACAAATGTTCGGAAGTTCAAGTCACCACACTCCGTGTAGCACGCGAAGCAAGAGAAGAAAGTACAAGAAAAGCATAATAGAAACAGTGAGCAGAGGTGTGAGACAAAGGAATAGTAATAACGAAGAACAAAACAGTTTCATTGGAGATCATAAGTCACAAGGAATGGATGCATCTGCGCCACTGAGAACGATTTTGAGCCATGTCACCAATTGTTTCCAACCATAGATTTTTACCGTCCCGAGGACCCCGGCCTGAAACTCTACACCTTCCTACGTGGCTTAGACCAACTGTTGTGGATTTCATTGACTGGTGCCAAGTTTTTGTTTGACCGCCGCTAGCTTTTTTCCAGCCTGACCCTATATCCGCTAGCATTGCTCGTCGAGGGAGGCGATGACTTGGCATACGTAACACATGTCCTAACCATCTCAGTCTTTGTAGCCTCACGACTTCGTCGATTGATTTCCCCTGTTTACCTAGAACTCTACGCCTAACCTCAATGTCGACATTACAGGTAGCTTGTTCCATTTTAGAGTACACATATTCCACGATGTATGTGTGTATGTCATACAGCAGATGCGGGATTGATGCTCGGCTGGCTGATAATCTCCATAAGCTCACAGTTCACTAGTCAGTAGTAATTCTAGAAAAAAAAGGAGAGATTAGCCCTGAGGCCAGCTACCCTTTGTCACAAACACGACGTTACTGCTAGTGGAACTTCCAAAAGAAATGTTCGGAACCCAAAGTTCTAGTCAGAACGTAGATCTGTTAATAAGTTGTTTAAAGACCATAGAATTCCTGCTAAATTTCAATCCCTTTTTAAGTTGCTTTGGGTGAAGTTTAAAATTACAGCTGAAAAATAAACCACTTTTGTTTTTTTCAATATTTTTCAGGTTATTTTGATGACAAAATAGTCTTATAACCCTAAAGTTTTGTTTCAAACGGTGAAGAGTGTTATTCAGTGGATGAATCGATTTAACCAAAAATAATCTGCTATAGTTTAGTTGCGTCAGTTCTCCATTTTTTTAATTTTTTTTGCTCTCTATATGTACACTTATATTTTTAAAATGTTTTTATAATTTCAAATAAAACCTGTTTAAACTTTTAAGCTTATCTTGTTGACACAGTGGAATATAAATATTAAGGTTTTATTACAAGGTATACAAATGGCAGTGTATACTTGACTCCCTAATCTTTTTATGTCTGTACAACTGGGAGCTGGTGTATGAGTAACTTTATCAGGGGAAAAGTAAACATGACACCATTCCATGAATTCAATTAATTTTAGTTGGTCTCAGTCATATGAGGAAGTCTAATTTGCATGTCCAGTATTTATTTATTTAAACGCATAAAAACTTGGTACAATATGGCATCAAGAAGGATGCGCCACACAATAATAATAAAACAACATCGATCAAAAGAAAGAAAAGAAAAAAAATATATAAGTAGAGAACGGATAAAGAACTTCATCTGGAAGGAAAACAGTCATGCTTAACAAGTTCAAACAGTATTCGTTAACTGTCATCGGGAAGGGAAGAAAGAAGGAAATTGCAACACGTGTAATAGCACGTGATAAGTTTCATTGATTGTTTGTTGCTTTATTCAATTCATTGTGTGAGGGCTGAGATACTGCCCGGGCGCCCAGATCGAAGCAGGTGGTTTTATTAAGGGACCACCCACCTCCAAGCCTTTGACTTGGAGTCTAATCCGTGGATTGGCAGCGGAGCAGCGTCAGGAGCTGAATTCCCATGGTTTCCGGTGACCCATATGGGTTCATACGCCATTTGATCCGATTGGATACTGGACCAAATGTACCCCATGGTAACTGCTTTTAGTTTAACCGCTATCCAAATAACCTTCCTGACATGGTAGGACCTGCAAGCACAGAGTTCCAGTCAGTTTAGCATGTTGGGTCATTACGGTATTCAAGCCTGACCACTACGACAGGGTAGTAGTTATCGGCCGGGAATTCGCATGTCCAGAGTTAGTGGTTGTAGACTGTTGGTAGAATGGTCCAAAAATGTTTACAGTAGCACAGGTATACCTTTTTTATATTCAACTTATATTTATTAGCTTGGTAATAAATTGCACGAATTGTAAGGTTACAGTAATTAGGAATCGAGACAACATAAAACCAATATATCACATAGTAGGTAATAATAATAATTAGCATGATTTGAAAAAGATAAGACCAATCGACAGACTATGTATTGATACCAATATCAATTTTCGTTCTTTCTCATCAAAATTCTGGACATTAGTAGTATTCATTAAATTATCCTTGTAGATATTTTTTTTCAATGACTGATAAATTAAAGCGATGAATATTAGCAACGTTCTTTGTTGATTCATTATTTAGATTACTATGCAACTCATAATATGACAAAATACGCTTGCAATTCCTCTGCTTCAGTGGACATTGAATGCTGGAAACTTGGAAATGCACGCCCATAGTTGCCATTTTTTTTAATAGTGAGGGCTATAAAAGTCAGAAGTCCTCTGAATAATGTTATAGCTCCATGGGTACTACTTTTATAGAAAGGTTAAAGAAGAATGCACAAAACTGTCGACTGTTCTGTTTGTAATGCTTTTCTTCCTTAATGGGAAATTAATTGTGAATATTATAGGCACCAGGACTTCTGAAGTATCATTTAAGCGCAGATCACGACTAGCTTTCAGGAATTTTGAGATGTCATCAGACTATATGGCTTAAGAGGAATTTAGTACCCAATAGAACTGATTTCTAAACATTGTGAACTTTTCTATTACCGTAAAATGACATTTTTGAACCCAAATTTTGATTTGCTTGCCAGATTAGTCTGTGAATGCTCTTACGTGGGAATTAAATAAAATGCATAGAATTCATTCAAAGCTTAGTACAAGACAGAATAATGTTGGTAACAACCCAACTGATCGATTATTTCGATAAAAGTTTAGAAAAAAGCCTCCAGGGTTCCATTCTAATATCTTCGATTTCAACACTGAAATCAATAGCTTATCAAGAAGATGTCTGTCTCTGCCTGTTTTCGACATAGAACTTTGCACCGATGTGCAGCAGTTCAAGTCGCCACACTCCCTCCATGTAGCACACAAAGAAACAGAAGAAAGCAGAAGAAATACATAATAGAGACAGTAAACAGAGGTGTGAGACAATATAGTTTCATTGGAAATCATAAGTCACAAGGAGTGAATGCATCTCCCCCAGCCATTGAGAACGATTTTGAGCCATATCACCAATAGTCTCCAGCCATTAGTTTTTACCGTCCCGAGGATCCCAACCAGGAAGTCCACATTTTTCTACGTGGCTGACCGGCTTAAACTAGCTGTTGTAGATTTTCATTGCTGATGAGGCCATGTTTTGGTTTGACCGCCGCTAGCTCTTTTCTAGCCTGACCCTATGTCAGCTAACATTGCCCAATGTCTAGGAAGGCGATGACTAAGCATACGTAACACATGTCCTAACCATCTCAGTCGATGTAATTTCACAGCCTCGTCGATTGATTTCCCTCCTTACCTAGCAATCGACGTTGGTGGCACGTCGGTGCTTGCTAACCACGTCTCAAGAAGATACTAGTTGTTTTGAAAGTTCAGATAGCCTATTTTGATAACTGCTGTCAAATCTAGGTGTAGGGGATTATTTCAGACCACTTGTTACTACACAAGGTCATTATTAACTATTCGATGTTTAGGCTGTCGGTTTTCTTTTCAAAGTTTCAGACATTCTTTTAAGCTTTAGAATACATACTTGGAATTTCCACTGAAGGAACAGCAATAGGTTCACCAATATCCCAAGCATAGCTGATATCTTTACGAATAGTTTGGAAAATATGGTTCTTAATGCATTTAATCCTACTCTGAAAATGACACTTTAGCCGTCTTGAAAAACAGAATCTATTTCTAATCTCTTTTTTGTATAGAAACTCAGGATTATAGAATGCTACATCTACTTTTGAATCAGATAATGAACAAGAAGAATTAATCATGTTGGATTGTAGAGACGGATCCGGTTAGGTAAGTGACAAACCGAGTGAAAACTCCTAGCAGAATGCTAAAAATCCCAAAAATAGTGGAATAAAACAGATAGTAAGCACACTATACACTTTGCAGGGTAGGAGAATATATATGTACCCAAATTGAAAAGATTTCCCTCACTTAGTTAATTTAAAACAAGCCATCCATGGCTGTAGAAAGAGAAGCAGAAATCGGTATTCAGAAAGTATGCAAAAATATAATAAAGGAGAAGTAATATAAGAGACTGTTTTCTAAACAGAAGGTGTATACGAAGTAACCTTTATTGGCGGAAGATAGTGTTACTCAGTCGGTGAAGCGTTGTTTGCATGAAGCCATTAAACAAACCCATTATGCAGCTGATATGTTGCTCAGAAATACAAACAAAAGAGGATATTGAAAGCCATAGGGGAAGTTAAGACATCGGTACTCACCGCATCAAAATGTGTATATTAGTTTACATGTGTTTCTGGGGTCGCATATATATATATATAGTGCGTACAGAGAAAGATGTCTTTCGACTCGCAGTGCAGATTCGATAAACAAAGCTTCCGTTGTTATCAATCTCTCCCTCTATCCACCCTGTTGTTATATAAGATTTTAAAATTGTCATCTTATCCCAGCCATCCTATTGTATGGTTGTGTGTAATTGCATGTAGTGAGTGCTATCTACGGTTGAACTATTCCGTAGATTTCTTATCCTTTTCGAGTCAACTAATCTAGATTTTGCTAGTCTGACTGCCCTGTTCTACTAGTTTGACCTAACGATCATTGCAGCAGGGCATTGTTTTTCATCCCTCAAACCGACAAAGCTTGTTTCGAATTGAGTTTGTAGGTTCGAATGCCAGCCACTTTTATTCCTGTCTGCCTTGTTAATAATTCTGCGTAAGGTGGTTTCTGAGGTCTCTTCCTTGTATGGAATTACTACTGATGACTTAGATTCCTTATTGTTGGTGTTGTCATTATGCTGCGCATGTTTGACATGCATGTCATTATTATTATTATTATTATTATTATTATCGGTATCACTACTATCATTATTTGTTTTATTTTTACATTTCCCTATATACTTGCTGACTAATATGTCAGGTTAATTATTCAGCTTCAAAGCTTCTCTTATATCTACCTCACTTCTTGTATTAGATTTTCCTTGGTAATACTACTAGTTTCTATGCTCTATTGTCATAGTGCTTAAACATTTCACCAATCCTATTTTTACTGAGATAGGATGAGATAATCGGAAGTCCAAATACCTGTTTGAATGTGTGGGTTTCCTGGAAACACACACACACTAGTGTGTGTTTAACTTCTCATCTTCTTTTCGTTTTACTCTACAATCTAACATTAGAAGCTCCCCTTCCCCACTGTCCAATTCATCATAAGTGACTTGAATTGCCTCCACTTCATCCAGTAAATACTAATACTGTTTCACTGTGTGATATATCTAATAAACAAACTAATATGGAATTACTTACTACCACAGTGCCCCAGTTTTACACATATATCATAATTTGATGTTGAGTAAAAGCTTAATACTGGTGTTCTTTACAGCTATCCCACAAGATTCATTCAGTTCCTAGAGGAATATAGGGCTTCAGCTGCACGTCTTCATTGCGTTCGGTTGT